CAAGCCAAATCCAAAATCTAAAATAATGTCTGTAAACAAGCAGGATGAAGTTTAACTTTTTTACTCCTATAACATATTTTTACGTCTCACCTTTTACTGTATCCTGTTTACATCAAGCCTTATACTTTTACATCTCTTCAGGAACTCCAGAACACATTCACTTTTCCCACATTATATTTTTTCAATTGTTTTATAGTTGTATTGATTTTGAGCTCATCATCCAGACTGCTCCATAAGTTTACTCCACAAACTGATCAACATCTACTCTTCATGGTGAGCAAATGGCTTTTCAATTTTTTTGGATTTTCTTCTTAATTCACAAATTGCAATTTTACTTCTGAACAGTTGTATGTTATCAGGGGGTAAGTTGTTGCTTGCAATATAATATGCATACAGGAAGTCTGCTTAAGTGAACAAACTTTGAAGGCAACAGCAGGTGACAGCTTGTTTTCCTCCTGATGCTGGCAGTGACACAACCATGCCATGCACATGCAATCAATTACAGGATCTGAAGCTTCTTTGAAATGACTCCAAGTGACTTTCCTGACTTGTTCAAGTCAGTGATTTGTTTTTTCAGATCTTTTCTGAGCTCCTTAGACTTTCCTACAGTAGTGTTTGTGGCTGAGTGTATCAGATGGGACCTATTAAAACTGACTCAGGAGTCAGCAGCTGTAGTCAATCACAATCACTCATGAGATGACAATTGAGCTACAAAAATGTGATCAACACAGCGCTGTACATCACCAAGACTGATAATTCAAGTGAAATATTTCAAAAAGACCTGTAATAAATCTAGGAAAAATCAAAATGCATGATTGTTTTTTGTGTGACAAAGACTTGTGTGTTTTAATGATTTCATAATTTAAAAAAAAAAAAAAAAAATAGTGTATGTAAACTCTTGTTCAAAACGTATATGGATGTAATTAAGTTTCTCAGAATATATTCAGTGGTTGTATGAGCTCATGATTGATACTTTTCAAAGTTAAAGTTAAAAAATAAAAAAGCAGTGCTAAATATTTTTCTTTAAAAAAAGAGGACAAAGTATCCCTGTCTGAGGTATTGTTGCATCAAGTAATGTTAGAGGTTTTTCAAACTAAGTCTTCTGCTTCTTTCATATGTTTATATTGGTGGACAATGCCAGAGCACAACAAAGCTATTCTGGCAGCACGTGGTGGTCAAATACCTCAATAAGATACTGTGTTGATTTTTTTATTCATCACCCATCTGTACATCATTATCAGTGGAGTGTCCCTAAAGGTACTTCTAAACAGCATAACTTGTCCTCATTTTTAAAAATTTTCTAATATAATCATCACTAAGTTCAGACTCAGACACACTTCTATGTGTTTGTCTGAGTGAACTTCCTTTCCATAATTAGACAGGATGACAGCAACAAATAAAATTAAAGCCGCAAGCGGCGATGGACGGGT